TGATGGGAACGCCGGTGATCTCTCCGATCGGTGTTCCTCTTGGGGTCTTCTCTCCTCCCCACACACTTGTCCAACTTCCCAAGATTGAGCAAATCCTCCAACAGTTGGCGCAAGTGGGTACACTCTTCAGTGTCATGTCCGGCACATCGGTGGTAAGCGCAATGCTTACTCTTGTCGGGGCCGTCTCGATCGGGATGGGGGAGTTTGATGAGATTGCAGGACTGGGCGTACTGCATGGCCTCCGCTGCGGATCGGTTCAGGGCCGCAAACTCACCAGGCCTGGTGCGGGATCGGGGATGGTCATCACCCGATCGGTGTTCCGCCCGGCCGGCCGGTTTACGGGACGAAGACCCGACCTCCTGCGAGCGCTTTACGGCATTCGCTTCACCGGCGTTGGCATAATCTGTGACCCTTCGAAGGGCCTCCTCATACGTGGCCGGGGGGTGTAGAATGAAGTCCTGGTACAGATAACCCGCCCGGAGAGAGATGTGAAGCATATGGGTGTCGGTCGCATCATCCATGGGCTCGACCTCCCCGACCGCCGCCTTCCATTTGACGAGGAAGTCGGTCAAGCTCTCCCCTTCAAGCTGCTTGGCCTTCTCCAGATACATATAGGGCTTCCTTACCACCTTGGAAGTGACGAACTTCCTCACAAACTTGATCGCCAAGGTGTCAAACTTGTCGATCGAACCCGGCTGCAAGGTCCGAAACCATTCCGCCGCTCGGCCGGTAAGCGTGGAATAAAATGCCCTACACATTACGGCGTCTGACACGCCCTTCAGCATCATATTGCTGTAGAAGTCATTAACATGGACCTCAGGATCCGTCCGGCCATCATAACTTTTCTCTCCAAAGACCTTTAAATCAAGCGGGTAAGGCTGAGCTATCACCGCCGCTGTAAAAGGCGTCTGGTGCAAGGTCGATTGGTCGACCGGAGGTGTTGCAGGGTGCGCGTTCCTGAATTGCGCAAACTCCGCCTGGAGGTTGTAGAGCAATCCTCGGGTCTCGTTGAGCTCGGCGGCTTGGGCAGCTTGAGCTGCGTCCCGAGCGCGTCGTCGTCGATGAGATCTCGACCCGCTATGCTCGGATGAAGCCTCCTGGCTGGCCTCCTGCATCTGTACGTCTTCTTGCTGGCGGTTCGGGTCTTGGGGCCCCAAACGCTGCCGCATCTCCGGTCGAAGACGATCAAAAGCTGCCGCTCGGGCAACTTCTTCGGGGTCCTCCGCTTGGGCGGGAACCTCGGCCGCTTGCTGGGCCTGCCATGGTGCCTCCATCGCATTAGCACCCCCCGACCCCAACCGCGAACGAGCCGAGCGTCGAGCCCGGGAAGCGGACTGATGCTGCGGCTCTACCTGTGCGGTCGGGTAAACTGGAGGGGCGGCGGCTGGAGCCGTGTACGCAGGCGTATATGGTGGATATCCAACCGGGGGAGTGTAGTACATCGGTTGGCCAGGCCAATACCCGTACGGCGGAGGTGGGACCTGGTATGGATATTGGCCGGGCTACATCATCGGCTGTTGTGGATATGGCTGACCGGGTGTTGGGTATCCCGGTTGAATGTAGTTCACCGGCTGTTGGGCAGCCGGGTATGTGTTGGATGGATGTGGTGGTGAGAGATTAAGATTCAAGTCCACCGTCTGACCTTGTTGTTGGGTGGCGTGGTGATCGGATGAGCTCGCTGCATCCACCTGGTCGTCAGCGAAATTGTTGTATGCCCACGGATATATCATTGGAAAGGAACCGAGTGCTCGTCAAGACGTTGCTTTCTTGCACGGGTCCCCACAGACGGCGCCAAAATGATACTGCTAATTCTACGTAAGCAATAGCTAAATAAACCCGAGACCAATTAAAGCAAGTAAATATCTTTATTGATCACGGTGAAGGCCTTAAGTACAATCTACTTGGTTGCTCTGAGTGCCGACTGACTGCGGTCGGGATTCTCTAACAACAACCTATCGATCGTCCAAAAGTCCCTCACACTGTAGCTACTGTGAGTATTTATAGCCGCTGCGCCGGGGACACAAATCCGGTCGTTCGGCATGCTCTCCACGTAGCCACCACGTGTCATCCTCCCGGATGCCCTGTCTGTCGTCGCAAGGAACCGCCACGTGTCCTTTGCCAGCTCTCACGCCAAAGGGCTACCGCTCGGTGGTCAACACTATCGGTTGGGCAACTCCCGGTCAGATCCCGACCGGGTTCCTCACAAGAAGCCCGACCTGTTACCTGCAAAGACAAGAAGAAAAAGACAAAGGCATACCAGCCGGGGTAAAATAATGCCGGTCGGGATATTCCATACCAGGAAACATAAGAATTAAATTACTTAAAAAATTAATTTAAAATGTTTAGTTCGTTTAAACTTTTCTATGAAAGTTTTTAAATCTCTAATATATCCTTGTTATATACTCATATTAAAAAAATTTTAAAAATATATTAAATAATTGATAAATAATATGCCAAAAAAAAATTCTAGTTTACAACAAGAATATTTGAAATGCAAACAGTATGCATTGTTATCCTTCGTATGGGTCAGAATGTAACTCAACTGAACATGAACCACAAATACTAGACCTTTGCTTACTGCGTCCAAGGAACCCCCCTCACTTTGAGAGGTAGCTCCCACACTATCGCTGGTGAGACTTGATCCCTGGTCATTCTTCCAAAGTTTCACCTCTATGACCAGTTGAGCTGCCCATGCGAGTAATTTGTCTAATTATTTACTGTGGCTTGTGGAGTTCACTTATTCAAATTATTATTAAATGCCTAACTGCTAAGAAGTAATAATAATTATAATAATAAGGCTAAAGTGTCATCCCGCACCATGAACCATTCATGATTATTCATGCTGCACCATGATCTTTAATTAGTGATATTTAGAGCCATAAACCATAATTTTTTTTTCGTCTAAAACTTTTTACAGGTTTCCTACAAGTTACCGGTAATAATATTGCTGATATAGAATTTTTTATTTTTTTTTTGGTATTTTTCTACTTTCGCCTTCGTATTATAATTTGTTTCATATTTTTCTTTTTTTTCCTAAATGTATAGGCCTGCTCTGCGTTTTTCGCTTCTCGTTTTTCCGATCAGGCCTGATATGTATAGGCCTGCTCTGCAGAGTTTGGTATCGGAGAAACGAGAAGCGAAAAACGCAGAGCAGGCCTATAAATTTAGGAAAAAAGAAAAATACGAAAAAAAATTATAATACGAAGGCGAAAGAAGAAAAGTACCAAAAAATTTTCATGTAAGCAATATTATTACCGGTAACCTGTGAGAAACCTGTAAAAAGTTCTAGATGGAAAATTTTTTATAGTTTATGGCTCTAAATATCACTTATTAAAGATCATGGTGCGGCATGAATAATCAGGAATGGTTCATGGTGCGGGATGACACTTTAGCCTAATAATAATAATAATAATAATAATAATAATAATAATAACAACAACAACAACAACAACAACAACAATAATAATAATAATAATAATAATAATAATAATAATAATAATAATAATAATTGTATGATGCAGCAGTCATGAAACAATGACCATCTTCATCTTAAACACTAATATCGGTCTGAGATTTTATTTTATTTTATTTATTTTAGTTTTATTATTATTATTACTATTACTATTACTATTACTATTACTATTACTACGAGGTTTTCAATTCAATACCAGTCATTCACGTACCAAAGATTAATGTTGAACACTATTATTATTAAATTTATTGGTTTTTTGAGTTTAATAAATTTGTTTGATATAGTAAGTTTTTTGTAAACACTAAAGTAATATGAAAAAAATAAATTATAAATCATTAAAATTAGTACTATCATTAATCAAACTAGGTACATAAAGTTCCAACGACAGAAAAAGTAACATTTGGGTTCTGCGCTGTTAACGACGAAGGAGTCTTTGTTGCAGCAAACGGCCAACTAGATTGCGTTCCCGAGGCCCGGTTTGTCGAAGCAATGGCGTGTTGCGAGGCTCTATCTTGGATCAAAAGCAAGATTTTATGCAACATTTGGGTCGAATCTGACATCCAAATGGTGGTTCAAGCATTAGTGGGAAAGGTTGTATCTCGGTCATATCTTTGGTGTAGTGTTAAGCTAAGTGTAGAGAACTCATTAATTCCACTGACTTAATTGTTCTATTAGATTCTTCCAAAAGGAAGAACCCACATCCCGGCCCGACAGAGCATTTGGGAGGATGTAAATCATGGTGACTTAACTAAACATGAACCACAAAGGCTAGACCAGTGCTCAATACGCACAAAGAGCCCCCCTCACTTTGAGAGGTTGCTCCCACACTGCTGCTGGTGAGATTCGATCCCTGGTCATTCTTCCAAAATTTCACCTCTATGCCCAGTTGAGCTACCCATGCGGGCTGTTCTATTAGATTCATTAGAAGGTCTGGAAATCAACCAACATAGTCTAAAGATACACAATTTATATACTAAATGTTCACAATTTACCTTTAAAAAATTCACAATTTGTGATGATCATGTATTGTATTCACAAATTCTTAAAACTTAGAAACATAATTTATATTCTAAAAGTTCACAACTCCAATACTAAAAGTACACAATTTAGGATCAGGGTTCACCTTGCAAGGTAGACCCTGGTCCATGGTGTAACAACTTGATTCTTGCAAAGCTAGCCTATAGTCAATCAGGTCCTAATGTTTTCCCATCTTATTCTTTAATTAATCAAGTGATTTGTTGCTTTAAATAAAAATAAATAAACAAATAACTGGGTTAATAAAGTTAGTCAAGAGTAATTTGACTGCTGCTCACTTTGAAAATATATTAAATTTACAATATATTTTCTTTACATAAAACTCCAACAAGACATTAAATTAAACATTTTATGTCGAAAATTTCTCTAAATTTATTCTCTTTGTCTTGAAAATAAAAAATAAAAAAGTATTATATCTTGAAATCTGTTGGAGAGTGGTAGAAAAAAGTGTATGGTATGTTCTATATTGTACAAAAATGTCCTTAATTAATTTTCAAGGATAGAAAAGTTTGGTGAACAAAAGCTCATTCCATGTATCTTGAACTCCAGGTAAACACCAATGGATACAATCTGAATAGCTCACAGGGTTTGCTAGTTGCTCAGCTGTCAATGGCGTCCATTGTTTCTTGTAAATTGATAAGTGACCATCCTTTCTATAATTTGAGAGTCTTGTAATGTTTAAGAATGTTATTTGCACATTCGAATTGCTAAGCGCCTCATCAATTACTCGCATTGTTTTCTTCAACGGTCTCGGTACGTCATAATTAAGATTTTCTACTAGAGTGGATTCATTGTAACAGTTACCTTTTTTATCGCCTCCCCATAAAACGTTCCTGTCAAGAACAAAATTGTAATATATATTATCAATTTAAGAAAATGTTATTATACTTAATTGATATTGTGCCTAACCTAAATTACTCCACGTGTTATTGTCACTTTTGATCTCACGAATTTGGTGAGTGATTTCAGGCTATAAAAATTGCTACACTAGGTGCATAACTTCTATTTTTCCTCCCAATGAAAGCTAGATAGCAACAAAGTCTATTAGATTTCACTAGAAATAAAGAGGGGAAAAAAAATAGAATGTGTATATCAACTACCAATATTCAAAGTGTCACCAAACTTATAGGATCAGAAGTGACAATTACTCTTACCCTATTATATCTTTAACACCGACTTTATATATTTCTGTCAAAATTTTAAAATATATTTCTTTAAAATTTTAATATTTCAACTTCATATATAGAGAGAGTAAACACAACTATCTAGTTGTATATATGTTTTTAATATATAATGTCAATTTTTTAAAAACAATGTCTAAAATACAATTTATTGTTTCACACTTTCACTTACCTTCCATGAGTTGGTGAGATGCTAGTGAAAAATGTCCTTGTTTTAGCTGGATCCATATTCTCTTCAACCCATTTCAACATACTCTCCAATGCCATACGATAAGCATCATCGGAGCGCACATCTATAATTTTTTTTACCTTGTCTTCAAATGATCCTTCTCTGTATTTTGATAAATGTTAAATGTTAAATTATGATCAAATTAAAAATTCTATAACAATATGACACTATATTACTATCTGAAAAGATTTAATTCACGAAATTTTAAACACTGTTGCTATTTCTGAACTATGATGCCTTATGGAAAAAAAAAAAAAAAAAAATCTCATAAAGATTTGTAAGAAATAATGGGCACATAAATATGAATATGTATGGACTTACAATATCTTGAAGTATTCGTCTTTATACCACCATAAGTAAGTGTGAAACACTAAAATATCAACTCCTCTCCAATGTTGTCCATGCTTGTTAATTGAATCTTTGCGAGCAATTCGTTCCTCCACTCTGTGCTTCCAAGGGTTGTCCGCGTTTGATTCCAGCAATAATGGACACCAGTAGAATTCAATCGTTGCATTGTATTCCTTAAATACATCAAAACAACAACACTATTATTCTCTCTGTTTGCAGGTCCTAACTGTAGGATACACCTTTAAGCCCCTACCATATTCAGACTAATCTCATTCGCATGGGACCGATCCAATTAAGGGCAAAGTGATGACTAGATTAATTTTTACATACGAGCAATATTGCAAAAATTCCGCCTAGGAACTGGCCCGCCGCGTAGTGTATCACCATAATCGATGGTTTAGGCAGCTGGCCCACTAGGCGGCCGATTAATCGCCGCCTAGGCACCCTAGACGCCCGAGAAGCACCTAACGATTTTTTCAACCATGCATACGAGAGGGGGTTCGAACTCCCAACCTCTCTTAGGGGATAAAGGTGCACGGTCACTCACGCCAACCAAGCTGGTTTCTATTTCTCTGTTCTTCTTCCAAATGGTTGAATCCCCAACCCCAAGACCCCCCATATTCCGACCCGACAGAGCATTTGGGAGGATGTAAATCACGGTGACTCAATGGCTCAGCAGACATGGCCAAATGTCAGTGCGCACAAGGGACCTGCCCACTTTGGACATAACCCCCACATTACCACCGCCCAATTCAAACGTTGTCCTCTTCTCCCAAATACTGTCTACTGACAATTGAGCTAAGCTCGTGCAGACATTATTCTCTATGTTCATTTGACTATCATGGTTGTCTTATTTTCTTAATTTAACAATTAGATCACTTTTAATTTTTATTTATTTTCAAATTAATCAAATATAAACAATAAAACTATAATGTTAAAAAAAATGAATAAATTGATGCAGAATTACAATTTTTATGGTTTTTATTTATAGAGAAATATTAAAATACCTTTGCTGTAAAAATAGTTCTTTGGCCAGCATCCTCAATGGATTTGGCATTATCTGGAATGAATTTCTGAAGAAGGCAGACCATGGAACCGTAGTGACCTCTACTTAGTGAATCGCCGACAAACATCATCCGTTTTCCTCTAAGAGCTTCAAGCATCATCGTACCATTAAAACTGCAAATTTATTAGTAAAGCCAAAAGTACACAAAATATCGTAATCATAAGTGTACTCTCTGTGAGTAGGTAAACTTTATGATTGCCACGTATATTATTGTTAGGCTAAGGCCGGTAAAAAGACCCGGTAGTTGAGGATTTGTTGAATGAAAGTTGGTAATGGATCAAATCCAGCAATCAATGATAAGATATATACATCGATACCGACCGTCTGTACGTCCATGGACTCGTTTATAGTCAGGTCAGGATCGAGCGGTTCGGGACCCGATCTACGGTTCAAAATAAGGGTGACGGGTCAAACCCGCCACCTTAGGCCTATAAAAGGGCTTTTTGGCCCTCTAGGAGGATTCCATTCACTCTCTACACCCACTCTCTCTCTTTACACAAGATCTCCCCCTTCCCTCTACAAAAATACAGAAGAATATATATGAATAAAATGCCCACTTTACTCTATATTCTTCTTGTTCATACACATTCATATTATATAGAGTATATACACTCTACGAGTACAACCGACCACCGGGAATTAGTACTATCAATCAACGTCTCAAAAATATGTAACGGTATAAGAAAATAAAATTGCGCATTTGCTACTATCTATAGCTTTTGGCGTAAGTGGTAAGCACTTATGCTAACAAGTGGTATCAGAGCCAGGTCACGGGACTTAAAAGATAGTCATGCACTTTATTAAGTGACATATTAGTGGCAAAAATAATCTTTGATGGACTAAAATTGTCACTTCGTGTATATATAACTTAGTAGTTAAAAGATGATCATACATATAACAGTCAGTATCACGAGTATAACTGGAAAAAAAAAACAAAAAAAAACAATTTTTCAAAAAGTTAATAACAAATAAAAATTTCTTTCGTGGCCTACCGAGGTATGGAGCAACCATGAGGCTGCCATTTCCAATGAAGATAATCCCTGTCGGGTCGGCCATGGGCTAAGCAGGTTTGTTGAGGTAGTAGATAAGGACACTCAGATTCCTTGTACAATGGATGAGATTCCTCGTCCCTAACCCACTGCCCGCTAAATATGTCGCACCCATTCTCGATCCTTCCAATTGCAAATGCCAGCCTATCCTCGGTCTTCTGCTCTAACACCAAAATCACCCAAAACAATTAAAAAAACAAATTTTAGAACATGATTTTTTTAAATATATAGATTTCTCAATTTACACCCGACTAATTCTAGCCTCCACGTCCTCTCTAGAGTCATGGAAGGAGGTTTATCGCGAGTCACACGAGCAACCTTTTCAATTAGTCCCCCGCCTTACTATGCACACAAGGGGTCAAACCCACACCTTACTCCAATATGGAGAGCCAAAATCCAATGATGCTTGAGGTGGGGTTCAAATTAACACTGTGCCCCTCTAGCCGTGACTTGAGGTCAGGTGATCAACCACTCAGACTAATCGAGTTTAACCCTCACCCCCTACCCCCAAAAAAACATGAAATTGTGTGGAGGGTATTATAAGAAACTCACTAATTGTGGAGGTAGCCAGGAGTAGGCAAAAGATGTGAATAATGAAGGTGAAAAGACAAGGGCATAAAAAGAAATGAACATAACCATGACTAGTAGTATGGAGAAGTAAGGGAGAAAGAAAGCTTTTCTAAGAAAGAAGAAGGGAGAAGATGACTCCAATTGCGTCGTCGTCATAGTTCAACCTTTTGCTTTTGTTATGTTTTTTTCAATGTTTTATACTAGGATTTCATGATTCTATGTACTATCAAAAATATGGAAATAATATGATGCACTGAATGAGCGAATGCACGTGAATTAAATATAATGTATTTGTACTCTATAGTAAGGGGACATTTGGTTGGCACAATGTGGGGTGAACAAACGATACTAATTTTGACGACAATCTCACTCAAGTTGATTAGGTAACCACAAGGTTTCAAGTTCGACTTTCAGTGGATTCAGCCTATTAAATTAGCCTTCTTTATTTAAACCGACCAGCTACCTCTTTACAGTCCTTTACCGACTAAGATCACAATGCAAGATTTACCGAGTACATACCTTTGATAACGGTTACTGGTTTCTCTCGTCACTCACAAGAAAAAAAACTATGCTTTTGTTTCCTCCAGGCTGTCACTTTGTATTAAAAGATATGAATAGAAGATTGGCAAATTTTGTAACAAATAAATGGGGTAAAAATGCAAGTAAGTTACAAGTTTACAGGTTTAACTCGTAGTGAGAGCGGTCTATTAACCTTCTTAGTTTGAATCGGTCAACTATGAAAATCTAGGGTGATTTATTTCATTATAGTCCTTTTGAAGATTAGGGTCACAAGGCAGGATTTATCCCATGCACATCACTGAATAGTAATTGCAGATTTTTCTCGTCGTAAAATTTGTTAGAAAATTGAAATGTAAGCGGCACACATTATTTTGAGTAGGTCCAGCATCTATTTGGGTACGTGGGTGAAAGTAGATTGAGATCATATGAATTTTCTATATTTATAAACTCAAAATGAATATTGAGTAAAAACGAAATATAATGTGGATTGAAATCATATGAATTTTCTATATTTATACACTCAAAATGAATGTTGAGTAAATAAGAAATGGATTCTTAAGTGTACCTATAAAGTTATGAAAGAGTGTTAAGAACGATTATGGAGGAGCCATTGTCAACATAAAAAAATGTATGAAAGATTAGATTCTCAATACAAAATTACTATTATAATGGAACCCTGAAATACACAAATAATATTCCACATCCAATCCTTCCAACAAACAACCCATAGATTACAATTGGTCTATATTAGTTGTATGTAGAGAATTAATATCATCATAAATGAATCAATCACAAAGAGAAACAAATCAGCAATAATTTCCTCTCTTTTTTCCTTTGCAAGAATCATTACACTATACAGAGATCTTCTCTTTCAACTTGCCACCCCAAAAATCTTTTTCAAAAAGGTTGAATTCCAACTCCAAGGAACCCCCACACCCCGGCCCGACAGAACATTTGGAAAGATGTAAATCATGATAACTCAATGGCTCAGCATACAAGGTCATATGTTAGTGCACACAAGGGATCTGTCAACTTTGTACATAATCCCCACACTGTCACCACCGAGATTCAAACCTTAGTCTTTTATTCCAAATAATACCTACTGAATCATTGAGCTAAGTCAGTGCGGGCAAAATAAGGTTGGCTACCACCCCAAAAATATGATCATGAGGAATGTGTATACAACTTTGGTAGTGGCAATACATGGGTGAGGAATGTGAGACAGCGGCATTACGTGGGCATCAATTTTAGCATTATTGTTTGCTTTTTTCCTACCATAAATAGAATGCATTACAAAGTAATTTAATATCATTAGAAGCAATAAACATTGTTAAGTCTTCTTTTTTCTTTTCTTCTCTCAAATTATCTATAAATATATTATATTTTAATATATCTAACATTTGGTATTAGAGCCTATCAACCTTCTAACCTCAAAATATTTTCAGTAGTGAGATATAGAAACGAATTTCAATATTATGTGGTCGGGTCCCAAATTGTATGAGAAACTCGATTATAATTATTGGCATATTATGTTGACCACACATTTTAAAGCACAAAATTTTTGGAGCTTTGTTGACTCCCGTCTACCAGATGGAGCTGATGCAGCCGCTATACGACGAGATCAATTGACCTTGGGAATTGGGACAGATTCACCAAGTTGTTGATTACTCCATTTTTTTAGCAATAAGCTGGTGCTGAAATTGCAAAGGAAACTTGGGACATCTTAAAGGTGTCTCACAAAGGAGTCGATCAGACACAAAAGTCCAAGTTGCAGTCGTTGAGAAAGTTGTATGATCGATGTGAGATGACCTCTACAGAGATAGTAGATATGTATTTCTCTGGTCTTATCAATTTGGCAAATAAGATGAGGTTATTTGGAGACATTATTGAAGATGATGCAGTGGTTGAAAAAGTTTTTTGAACTATGCCGATGAAGTATAATCATATGGTGATTCAATAACAGAGTCACACAAAACCGAGCTCTTATCAACTGTAGAGCTTAAAGGTATGATAGAAAGTCATATTGATAGGATTGCGTCAAAATCGAAACCTCTAGCAGAAGAAACTTTGAGGACGTGGTAACTCCATTCAAGGAAGAGGTAGAGGTAATACCAAACAAGGTAAATTTTTATTTCATTGCTACAATTGTGGCAATTATGGGCACAAGATTGCAGATTGTCGGTATAACGAGGATAATCGTGGAAATCAAGCAAACATTTTTGAAAAGTCTGGTGAGATTTCTATTGAACCTGAGACCTTAATTTTGACCAGTAATAGTTTTTCTATAGATGAAAATGTATGGTTTTTGGATACTGGTTGTAGTAACCATATGTGTGGGAAGAAAGAATTGTTTTCCGAACTAAATGAATCAGTTATGTCTTAAGGATGTTTGGCAATGAGTCAAAAATGTCAATTTTGGTAAAAAAGGTAAAAATCTCTACTCAACTAAAGAATGGTACTCACAATTTTATATCCGATGTTTTTTATGTTCTTAAACTACACTAAAATTTGTTGAGTATTCAATCATGCACTGTTTGTTTGCTTTAGTTCTGAAATTTGTGATGATAATTAGTTGTGGTATATGCGGTTTGGGCATTTTCATTTCTCTAGGTTAAATTCTCTAGCAAAAAAAGGAGATTATTTCTAATTGGAATAAGGGCCAAATTGGCCACTGAACGTAATGCGAAAGTGCAATCAGGCCACTGGACTAAAAAACATGCAATTACTCCCTTCAACGTCTCAAATGCATTCAATTTCACCTATTAGCCGGTTGCAAGCCCTTCTTTCCGGTGGATTGCTGACCAAGATGGTTACATGGCAATATTTATTGTTTTCCTTTATTTTCTTTTATTCTCCTTTCTTCATGCGTGTAAGAAACAAATCGGAATCCCCAAAGCCTTCAATCAGACATCAGAAATCAGCAAACCTCAGCTCCCTAAACATCTCACCCTCGCCTCCCCCTTTTTCTCTCACCCCATGAAAAGTGATACTAATTACTAAACCCCTACCTTAAATCATACAGCGTGTTCTTCCACCCTTCACTTGATATCAGCCTTAGTTTCTAATGTTTGCCACATCTTTTTAAAAATCTAAGCTTTTTGTTGAAAATACCCACAATTTCCCACGTGTTTCTTGGAGCTATCAAGAATTTTCCAGGAAAGAGATGCAGAATGCTCTGTTCTTTTGGAACTTTTAGTTATATTTTAGCTGTTATAGTTGTACTTCCTCTGCATTTTTGGGTTTTAAAATCTCTGGGTTTGATAGAACCAAGATTTGGGATTTTTGCATTTGTGTTCTTGGAGAAGTATGGCGGTGATGATGTTGATGGGTTTGTTGTTGGGGTAATTTAAGAGATCACGGAGATGTTAATGTACCTGTCTGGACTGTTGGTGGGAAGACCAGAGGTCGCCGGATCTCCTTGTTGCTGTCGTCGTTCGGCGCTGTTGTTGCTGGTTCGTCGGAGCATCACCGGAGGTCGCCGCCATCCGCACAAGGGGGCATGATGACGGCCGGAGAAGTCTGCTTCACTGTGTACTTGATAGAGGGCGCCGAGAAACCCCCATGCATCAAAGATCGGTCTCCAAAGCCGAAGTCGAAAACCACCTTGAGGGCCGTCGGAGAAGAAACCACGTCGCCCCACGCCCAAAATCTGTACGAACTCTAAAGCGGAGGGGAAACCCACCTAGAACTCTAGAAGAAGCACTTGCTGCTTGAGAAACGTACTGCCCTGAATGTAGATGAGCTTAGACTGCCAAAATGAATGAATTTCTATCCGATTCTTATGGTTTTTGTCCTCCATTTGATGTTAATATGATTTTGAGTGAGGAGGCTTGCAAAGAGTACTGCACAAATCGAAGAAACAGAGCTTTGGATATAAAAGATGCATGTTGTTGGAAAAGAAAGCAGCAAATTAACGACAGATTAAGAGCTTGAAATCTATGGGCCGGGATGAAGAGAAGAAAAGAGAAGAGAAATGGACACGCTGGAAGAAAGGAAAACAAAAGGAAAAGAAAAAAAATTCCCATGTCATCATCCATGTCAACAAGTAACCGGAAATAAAGGGTGGGAACCGGCTATCTTGTGAAATTGAATGCATTTGGAGGGTTGAGGGGAGTAATTGCACTTTTTTTAGTTCAGTGGTTCAATTGCACTTTTGCGTCACGTTCAGTGGCTAATTTGACCTTTATTCCTTTCTAATTTACCTGTTGTAATATCCATTATTGTATTTGTGAGATTTGTTTGATTGGGAAAAAACATAGAGACCCTTTTCATATGGGAAAGTCAAAGAGACCCACAACATAGTTGGAGCTAACGTTGTTTTCTCAAATCTATGTTCATTAGAGGTTTCTTCACATAGAGGTTGTAAGTACTTTGTTACTTTTCATTAGTGATGTTAATATGAAAATATGTGTTTATTTTCTGAAACAAATGTCATATGCTTGTGTTATTTTCAAATAATTTAAGATTTTTGTTGAAAAGTAGAGTGAGTATTGTTGGACATTTCGTTGGTAAAAACCCAATAATAATCCTACGAAAAGATTATTATTTTATGGAAGAATCGGGAAGGAAAGGGTGAAGAGATATAGCTCGGGTTTGGTGTAGGTTGTTAGCACGAGTCAAGCGAATCACTCTTTCCTTAAAACCTTATTTGCTACCTCCCACAAGTGCTAGGAGCGTTGTAGCCTAGGTTTTTCAGGATAAAATGTGCTATAGTTCAACGTTTGAGCACCCAAACTTTGAACCCGGCGAACAAGAGCAAGGCTTAAAACACAGTAGGCTAAAGGAAGGAGTAGAAGCAGGGATTTTGGAGCTGAAAACTATGGTTTCTTGTTCTTAAAATTTTGCTGCTCTTAGCCCTTCTTATATAGGGATGAAGGAATGAATAACATTTATCATGGCCTTTAAAACTAAGATTAATTAGGTCTTTGTAACACCTGAAACAACAGCCCATTACCAGCGATTTAAATTCAAAATTCAAGATTGGAGTTAATTAGAAAATTAATTCTGTAACAGATGAATTTAATCTCACAACGGGTTGTTGGCGAACATGATTACTTCTTTCGGCCCGCGTTGCTCTTGGCCTGCTGGCGTACACGAGTCAAGCCTGAATCAAGCCTTTTCAGGCTCAGTTTGGGATTTGATTTGCCCCCCCCCCCCCCCCTCTGCGCCCCTCCCATGCGCGAGAGAGAGCCTCTATGCTATACAATTCAATATGCCTTAGAAAGACTCTTGTATAAATAGGAGAGCAAATCCACTTCTCAAACCAATAGGGGACAAAAGCTCATTCATTTTCCCTTCATTTTTCCAACTTAATGGGTCTACTTTGAGACTCAATTTTTCATTCACCCATTATCCATTTTGAGTGTACAATATATCAATCGTCTCACTACGAAAAACCCGAATCCACTTTGACTCGACCCAAATCAAAAGTGGACCCCACTAATAATTGTATCAGAAAATAGCCACTTAATATGCCATTTTATGCAATTTTAAGCTATTTTTTTCCAACAAGTATTAAATTAAAATCTTGAGAATTGATTGAGGTACAGAATATATTGCTTGTGATGATTTTCTAAAGGAAAAGGGTATTCAACACCATATGACAATCAGGTACACTCCACAACAAAATGGGGTGATTGAGAGGAAAAATAGATCTATCATGGATATGGTGAGATACATATTGAAATCTAAAAATCTACCTAAGTCTTTTTGGGCAGAAGTTGTTTCTTGTTTTATTTATATGTTGAACGGTTGTCCAACTAAAAGTGTTCATGATAAGACACATGAGAAATCTTGGAGTGGGAAAAAAATCCTCTATAAGAGATCTCAAAGTTTTTGGATGTTTGGCATATGCACATGCGCTAGATCAATTGAGATAGAAGTTGGATGATAATGGTGTGAAGTGTATTTTCATCGATTACAATGATCTTCAAAGGCTTATAAACTATACAATCCTGAAACTTAAAAGGTTGTTATAAGTCGTGATGTCAATTTTGATGAATATGGTGCCTGAGATTGGTCGACTAAAGAAGAAATGTCAGTTGTTGTTCCTATTGCTCCAAAAAAATATTGTTGATGAGCAACCGGTTCCAGACAATGTTCAATCTCCTTCATAGCCAGAGTCATCAGTTTGAAGATCTCAACACAAGAGCCACTTACCAGCTTGCTTGCATGATTATGTTTTGGGTAATGATAATGACATGTATGATGAAGAAATTGTTCCGTTTGCTCTTTTTGAAGATTGTGACCCTATATCCTTTGAGAAAGTTGCCACATAAACTCATTGGCTTAAGGCGATAAATGAGGAGATTCATGCCATTGAAAAGAATGGCACTTGGGAGTTGACAAAATTACCTCTCGAAAAGAATCCAATTGGATTAAAGTGTGTCTACAGAACAAAATACAAGTCAAATGAAGAAATTGACCGTTTTAAGGCATGGTTAGTAACATATGGTTATAAGCAAGAACTAGGTATTGATTATTTTGAGATTTTTGCTGCAATAAGTAAACTTGATACAGTTCTAATGATTATTTCTCTTACTGCTCAAAATGATTGGAAATTGCCGGCATCAAATGGATGTCAAGTCTGCTTTTTTGAATGGTTTTATTTAAGAAGAAATATATGTTGAGCAACATGCAAGATTTTTTAAGAAAGGGGAGGGGAATAATGTTTACATATTAAGAAAGGGTTTATATGGCTTAAAACAAACACCTAGGATGTGGTATAGTTGCATTCACACTTACTTTGGTGAAAGTGGTTTTATGAGATGTCCTCATGAGCATACTCTGTATGTCAACACGGATTCTGGAGATATTGTTATAATATGTCTATATGTTGATGATTTGATTTTTACTGGAAACAACTTGAAATTAATCTCAGAATTTAGGGAGGCACTCATTAAGAGATATGAAATGACTGATATGGGTCTTATGTGTTACTTTCTCGGTCTTGAAGTTGTTCAGATAGATAGTGGAATCTTTATATCACAAAAGAAATATGTTGTTGATATTTTGAAAAAGTTCAAACTCGAAAATTCTAAACCAGTTTCAACTCCGGTATATGAAAAGTTGAATGTATCCAAAGATGGGTATGGTAAGAATGTGAATTTTACTTCTTATAAAAGTTTAAATGGGAGTTTGAGGCATATAGTGGCTATAAGGTTGGATATTTCTTTTGGAGTTGGAATACTTAGTAGATTCATGGCGGAACCAAAAGAATCACAAAGGGCTAAAGCATAGCAAATTCTGAGATGTCAAAGGTACGAGTAGTGATGGAATTGTTTACTCTACTAATGAAGTTGTGAAACTTGTTGGATATACAGACAGTGATTGGGCTGGAGATGTTGAGACTAGAAAAAACACATCAGGATATGCATTCTATCTTGGTTTCTGTTATATTTTTTTTGGTTTTTAAAGAAGCATCAAATTGTAGCACTTTTAATCGAAGAAGCTAAATACATTGCAGCAGCAAATGGTGATACTCAAGCGATTTGGTTGAGGAGAACTTTGAAGTTTTTACAACACAACCAAGAAACACCTTCAACTATTTTAATTTCTATGACAATAAGTCTGCAATTTTGTTATCTAAGAATCATGTCTTTCATGATCGCAACAAACACATTTATATCAAGTATCACAAAATTATAGAGTGGTTGCTTAAAAACAAATCAACATTGAGTACTGTTCAAGTTAGTGTCAAGTTGCAGGTATTTTTACGAAACCTTTGAAGACAAAATCATTTTTGAAATTGAAGAAGATGATTGGATTGGTTAACATTTCCGACTTGGTTTAAGAGAGAAAATGTTATAATATTAAATCAAGTCAAATAATAAACATTAAGACATACATGGGTGAGGAATGTGAATACAACTTCTGTAGTGACAATACACGGGTGGGGAATGTGAAGGGTAGCATTATGTAGGCCTCAATTTTAGCATTATTGTTTGCAATTTTTTTTCCTGCTATAAATAGAATGTATTACAAAGCATTTCAATATCATGAGAAATAATAAACATTTTCAAGTCTTCTGGTCTCTTTTCTTCTCTCAAATTATCTATAGATATATTATATTTTAACATATCTAACAAAATGCAATTAAAATGCGAGGAAAAAAAAAAAAGCAAAAAATTAAGGGTAGAAAAGCTTGGTAAATAAAAGTTCATTCCAAGTATCTTGAAGGCCAGGCATGCACCAATGGACACAATCGGCATAGCTGGTTCGATTCGCTATTTGCTCTGGGGTTAAAGGGACCCATTGCTTCTTGTATATTGATGTGTGTGCATCTCTCCTATAACTTGATAGTTGTGTGATGTTTAGAAGTGTGATCGGAACTTTCAATTTTCGAAACACATCTTCGATCACTTGCATTATGCTTTTTTGGTTATCCGATCCCCAGTAGTTAGAATCTTCTATTAACGTCGTCTGGTTGTAACAATTCTCATCCAGATCTCCTCCCCAATCTATTCCCCTAGAAAATGAAAACAATAAAATTATGAGGTTAAAAGTTCAAATTCATGTGCATGCAACAATATCTTTAGGAGAGCTGTTCTAGATGAGGCCCACCAAAATTCGATTAGCTTAGTCTAGGACGGATATCATTGCAATGATTGTGTGAGTGTTTACATACTCACTTTTCATGAGAAGGGGACATGCTAGTGAAAAAGACTCTTGTTCGCTTTGGATCCATATTTTTCTTCACCCATCTCAGCATGCTTTTCATTGCCATACGGTAAGCATCCTCCGTTGATACCATTGCTATATCTTTCTCCTTATCTTCAATTGTCCCTGATTGCCTGCAAATAATAAAAAAATAATAATAATAACAACGGAATTCCGTGAATCAAACGTGTTGTTAAAATTTTTACTAACAACAACGGAATTACTTATATTTTTCATAGAAGAATAAGTAAATAGATTAATATTACAATAACTTTTTAAAAAAAAATATTGAAATATTTTGCAATATTAAAGCGTGGCGTATAATTACTTACAAGATTTTGAATTCTAGACCAGTAATCCACCAGAGGTAAGTGTTGAACACCATTATATCAACATCTTTCCAATGTTTGCCATGCTTATTTATGGAACCTTTGCGGACAACTCTGTCTTCTATCCTATGTATGACAGCATCATCCGAATTCGATTCCAGGAGGAATGGTGCCCAGTAGAACTCAATTGTTGCATTATAATTCTGTATTTAATACGATTGTTACTTTTATATTATTCGAGAACAACCTTGATAACCAAATTTTTTTCGAGTTATAGCGATATAGCTAACTCTTTATGGTTTACATCCAAAACTCTTAAAATGGAGTAGGGGATTTTTTTAAAGAATGTTAGCTAAATCTAAGTTAGCGGGTTAAGGTAAAAATAACCACTTATAACTCTAGACTAGAAGGAAAAAAAAAAAAAAAAAAAAAAAATTAAAGAAAAAAAGTGGATACATTTGTAATGAAGCAGAAAATATGTTATATCACTATAACTCGTGTAAAATGTAGGTAGATATACACGGAAAAACACAATAGGAAAAATTGTAAAAAAATCCCACTATAATATGTCAATTATCAATGTCCCTCGCATATTATAGAGGGGCATTTTTTACAATTTTCTCAAAGAATTATTATTTTATTGAGATTAGCAAACACAAGGACGAATGAATTTTACAATATACGTTACAATGGGATTTAATAATTTTAATTTGTATATACTATACAATTTAATAAATTTTAAAAAGGCTCTTGTATAAATAGTGGTATAAACTCACTTTCCAAACAAATGTGGGAAAAACGTTACGTTAAAGTCTTTCCCCTTCATTTTTTCAACTCAAATGAGTCTTCTTTGAGAATAAATTTCTCATTCACCCATTATCCGTTTTGAGCGAACAATATATCATTCTTTTCGTCTCACTACGAAAACCCATAGCCATTTACCCGACCCAAATCGAAAGTGAACCTCACTAATATTTGTACCACAAAATAGCTACTTATTATGTCATTTTCAAGCTATTTTTCCAGCATAAAATATGTCATTTTCCTTTGAAACGAAAAAAGAATGTACGCTCAAGAAGAGTTTGAGTAGTTTAATTAAGTATGAGGTCAAGAATTCGAGCATATATATTTATAGATTGTGATATTGTTAGGCTCTCACCTTGGCTGTGAAAACAGTGAGTGAACCATTCTCCTTGATGGATTTTGCAGTCTCAGTAATGATTCTATGGAGAAGACAAACCATGGAAACAAACTGTCCCCTGTTCAAGGAATCTCCCACAAACATCATCCTCTTTCCTCGAAGGCTTTCCAGCATCAATGTCGCATTGAATCTGCAACAATACAAATTCACACCCCATTAGATTTAGAGTAATGTTATATACCAAGAAATTATATATTGTAAAGGATCGGAATTACAACTACATCCAACCAAATCGTCTGTAAATGTAAAAACAACTATAATAATTGAGAAATTAAAAATAAAAGGCCATGTTAGTTGATAGCTGTTAGCTGATTGTGTTAATTAGAGGGTATAACTAGTTGATAACATTAATTGTTGTAGAAGAGTGTTTGGTAAATTAGCTATTAGCTGATAGCTGTTTGGTATAATTTCTTTTCTAAAAAAAAAACCTAATTGAAAAAGTTGTTTGAAGTAGCTTTTTGAATTTTAGCATTTTAGAGTTGCAAAAAGCTAATTAACCGAACACTTATATTGATATTTTAACTAAATCAAACAATTAATAGTGATGAAAAAAACCAAAATTGACCTAACCTATAGGCCAATTTTTTACCAAACAGGGCCAAAAACAAATTGGTAGTTACCTAGGAAGAGAGCAACCATGGGGCTGCCATCTCCAGTACTGGTAATCCCTGTCGGGGCGACCGTGTTCTTGGCAAGTTAATTGCGGCGGTATGTACGGACACTCTTGTTCCTCGTACAACGGCCTGTTCTCCTCGTCTCGGACCCACCTCCCGCTGAAAACGTCGCAACTTTCTTCTATTTCTCCGATGGCAAATGCCAATTTGTGTTTGTTCTTCTCTAACCATAAAAGAACCAAGAAAAGAAAAACGTAATTAGTAAATAGCTTAATAACTCAATATATTATTAAGTAAATTTCTATACTATAATATGTGATGGTGTTGTTTGATTGGTTAAATTGTATTGCGTATATGTTTTATTAGTAATATACAAAGAGAATAATATATTTTTATCTACTGCACCGTAAAAATTTTTAGAGTCATGCATCCATAAATAAGACTAGTCAAGGGAGGAGGTAAATCACGAATCGCATGAACAGCACACAATGAGCCAAACTTACACCCTATTCTAATCCGGGGAGCCCGACCAATTCTAATGATGTTTGAGGTGGGTTAGAACTCCCACCCTGCCGCATCTAGTCATGCCTTAAAGTCAAATGATTAATCACTCGTACTAATCTGGTTTAAACCCCCCCCCCCTCACCCCACCCCACCCCACCCTCCCCTCCAAAAAAAACATGAATTTGTGGGTAGGGTATTATAAGAGCATCTGCATCTGTTAGGTTTCTGCACAATATTTTACGAGGCCATGTAAGAAAGAGAGAAAATAGAAGAAAAAAAAAAGGGTTGAAGTCAGAGTTGCCTCCAACTGGTGCCACACGGGCCCGCCTGTTGGAGCGCGCAGTGCACTCCACACGTGCAATTTCACCTTTTTTTTATTCTCTCCTGCAAAAATTATATTTTTTGCAGGAAAAAAAAATCTTACAAAAATTCATGTTCCACATTAGACAAAAATTAATTACTCAATTTTTCACTGTTCTAAAAATCAAGAAAAGTCTACTGCCGGTGATGTTCTAAAAAACTCACTGATTGTGGAGCTGGTAGCCAGGAGTAGGCAAAAGATGGGAATACTAAAGGTGAAAACACAAGGACATAAAAATAAATGAACATAACCATGACTAGAAGTATGGAGAAGTAAGAGAGAAAGAAAGCTTTTCTAAGAAAGAAGGGAGAAGATGACTCCAATTGCATCGTCGTCATAGTTCAACCTTTTGCTTTTGTTATGTTTTTTTTTTTCAATGTTTTATACTAGGATTTCATGATTCTATGTACTATCGAAAATATGGAAATAATATGATGCACTGAATGAGCGAATGCACATGCATGAATTAAATATGGTGTATTTGTACATTATTGTAAGGGAACATTTTGTTGGCACAATGTGAGGTGAACAGAGGATACCAATACCAGCAGCAATCCCAATCAAGTTGACTTGATAACCACAAGATTCCAAGTTTGATTCTTAGTAGGAACAGTTTTTTTTTTTTTTTTTTTGACTCAGGGTTTTCATCGTCGGACAAAATGACTAATTTTTTCGCTGGATCGTAGACACCTCTATTGGGTGGGACAATTGGCCTGGAGATTTAAGACTGATTCATACTCAGTGAGAGCAGTAGTCTATTGTCCTTCTTGATTTGAGCCGATCAATTACTTCTTGCCGTCCTTTGCCAATCAGGGTCACAATGCAGGATTTACCTAGTTCATACACCCTCAAGTAACGATTACACGTTTCCCTCGTCACTAGCAAAAAAAAAAAAAAAAAAAAAAAAAAAACTATATGTTTTTTGATTCCTCCAGACTGTCACTTTGTATATAAATAGAAGATTGGTAAAATTTGTAACAAATAAATAGGGTAAATATTGGGGAGCTCCTATCAAGTAAGTTAATTACAAGTTTGACTTGGGGGTTAGGAGCGCCCTATTGACCCTCTAAGTTTGAAGAAGTCAACTATGAACAATTTAGGTTGATTTACTTCATGGTAGTCCTTTATCAGCTGGTATCACAATGTAAGATTTATCTAGTGCACACCATCAAATAGTGATTACGGGTTTCCCTCTTCACCCAAAAGATTAAGGTAAAATTTGTTAGAAATTTGACATAATGTAAGTGGCATGCATTATTTTGAGTGAAAGTGGATTGAGATAATTTTTTTTATATTTATACACTCAAAACAAATGTTGAGTAAATAAGAAATTGTTTCTCAAAGTATATATATCTATAAAGTTATAAAAGAATGTTAAAAGAATGATTTTGGAGGAGCCTTAGCTTTGTCAACATCCAAAATGTAGGAAAGAATATAATAGAGTCTTGATACAAAATTACTATTACTATTATAATAATGTATTGAACCCTGAAATATACAAATAATATTCCACAGCCAATCCTTCCAAACAAACAACGGATAGATTACAATTGGTCTAAATTAGTTGTATGTAGAGAATAAATATCATCATAAATGAATCAAATCACATAGAGAAACAAATCAGCAATAATTTCCTTCTTTTTTTGTTTTCCTTTGCAAGAATCATTACACTATACACAGATCTTCTCTTTCAACTTGCCACCCCAAAAATCTCATCCAAATGCAATTAAAAAGTGACAAAATGAAAAGCAAAAAATCAAGGGTAGAAAAGCTTGGTAAATAAAAGCTCATTCCAAGTATCTTGAAGGCCAGGCATGCACCAATGGACACAATCAGCATAGCTGGTTGGGTTCGCTATTTGCTCTGGGGTCAAAGGATTCCATTGCTTCTTGTATATTGATGTGTGGGCATCTCTCCTATAACTTGATAGTTGTGTGATGTTTAGAAATGTAATCGGGACCTTCGATTTTTGAAACACTTCTCCGATCACCTGCATTATGCTTTTTCGACTATCCGATCCCCAGTAGTTTGAATCTTCTATTAATGTCGTTTGGTTGTAACAGTTCTCTTTCGGATTTCCTCCCCAGTCTATTCCCCTAGAAAATGAAAACAATAAAATTATGAGGTTAGAAGTTGAGAACGATGTGTATGCAACAATATCTTAAGGATAGCTGTTCTAGATGGGGTCCACCAAGATTTGTCTCGTCCCACAGGATATGGATACCATTGCAATGTGTGTGTGTGTGTGTGTGTGTTTATGTACTCACTTTTGATGAGATGGTGACATGCTAGTGAAAAAGACCCTTGTTCGCTTTAGATCCATATTTTTTTTCACCCATCTCAACATGCTTTTCATTGCCATACGGTAAGCATCCTCCGTTGATACCATCGCTATATCTTTCTCCTTATCTTCAATTGCCCCAGATTGCCTGCAAATAATAATAATAATAATAATAATAATAATAATGAGTAATAGGAAAATTTAACAATGCATTTTAATGTGTATTAGCATATTGTACATTGTATTGGGGGAGTTCTACTTTAAACATAAGGTACAACCCAACAAAGAATAAAGTGCAACTAACATGTCATTATCATTGGCATTTTAGCGTCGTATGTACCCCAAAAAAATTGTCATTTTAGCATGCTAATACGTTATACTTTATGCTTTGTTGGGTTGCATCTCTTTACTGAAATAAAATAAGTGGAGATATTTAAACTTTTTTTTAGTACTAGTGACTCGGTTAAAAATAGAATAAAAAATGTATGAATTAACGAAAATACCCTGCCCTCTCCGTTCTCCCAGCCTAATCCCCCCAATTTTGATAAGTGTTCAGAGTAGCATTTAAAGTTTTACTATCAACAACAGAACTAATTATATTTTGCATATATTATATAGAAGAATAGGTAAATAGATAATATTGTAGTTATTTAAAAAAAAAATTATAAAAAAAAAATATATTTTGCTAAATTAAAGCTTTGCATATAATTACTTACAATATTTTGAATTCTTGACCAGTCATCCACCAGAGGTAAGTGTTGAACACCATTATATCAACACCTTTCCAATGTTTGCCATGCTTATTTATGGAACCTTTGCGGACAAGTCTGTCTTGTATCCTATGTACAACAGCATCATCGGAATTTGATTCGAGAAGGAATGGTGCCCAGTAGAACTCGATTGTGGCATTATAATCCTGCATTTAATACAACGGCTACTTTTATAGTTTTATATTGGGGAGTAACCCTACTGATGACCTTATCAAATTAACTAGAATAATGTTATACATAGTTCGATAGTTAAAATTTCTTTCACATAGCGCATTGTAGTTAATTGATTGTTTAATTAGAGGTCTATAGTTTGACAATTAACTGATTATAATGTGTTTTATTATCAGGGATAGTTTTATTATTTTTCAATAAAAGGGCGGGGGAGGGGAGGGTGGGTGACACTTTTTCTCCTATGAATTATAGTGATGTGTAGCTTATTTCCTCCCTCAACTATAAGTACATTCTTGTTTTTCTCTCAATTATTCTCTAGCTAGGTGACTATTTTTACTCAAATCAGTCAATTATTTATGATTGTCATTCAGAACTCGAAAAATGAGGGTTTTCTTTTTAAATTAGCAGCTAAATATCATAATGTCATCGTTACTTTAATTCAAGCATACAAAATAGACAAGATAATTTCTCTCAATTCTCGTTTCTAGACATGTAATTAGTATTCGAAACTAGAATTCAGAGAAATTAAATCATCTTATTTATTTTGTGTGTTTGGATTAAACGAATGATGATATTGGAATATATAGCTAATATATTCCTAAAAGTCTCTCAATTTTTAGAAGTTTGAAAGTTAACCATAAATAGTTAGCATATTTTGATAAAATTCAGGGGAAAAAAGTTGATATACTTATAACTGAGACGAAAAACAAAATTATCACTATAACTTATGGGTAAAAAGTGTCATTGTATCTTTAAAATGAAAAAATAAATACACACTCGAAAAGAGTTTAAGTAATTTAAGTATGATGTCAAGAATTCGAGCATATATATTACGGAGTAATAGATTTTTATATTGTTTGGCTCTCACCTTGGCTGTGAAAACAGTGAGGGAACCATTCTCCTTGATAGATTTAGCACTCTCAGGGATGATTCTATGGAGAAGACAAACCATGGAAACAAACTGTCCCCTATTCAAGGAATCTCCCACAAACATCATCCTCTTTCCTCGAAGGCTTTCCAGCATCAATGTCGCATTGAATCTGCAAAAATACAATTTCACATCCCATTATATATTATATATTCATACTTAAATTATCTTTTAACATATGAATTCTACATGGAAAAGCTTGAAAATTTTTCTATATTTATTATTATTATTATTGCATTCAATCAATGTAGGTCATGTATTGAGAGTATATATTCTTAAAACCATTATACCATAGTTCATGGTCCACATTGCAAGGTGTAATGTAGACCGCTGATATACAAATTTATTTTTAGTATACTAAATGTTCATTTTCAGTGTATTTTATTTTTTTAAAAAAATTATAATTAAAAATGGACATGTTTTTTTTTTTTTTTTGAAATACTTATAAGTAGTATATGTTTTATACTTTCTCAAAGAGTCTAAGCCCACTCCCACCACTAGGGTTTGAACCTTTAACCATCCACTTAAATGAATAACCGAAATGTCATCACACTACATGATAATTGGCTAAAAATGGACATTTAATATACTAAAAATGAACCTTTGTCATTGGTCCACATTTACAATATGGCTCATGGTCCAGAGTATAATTTGCCATATTCTTAGGGATAGAATTAATATTTTTCAAATTTATAAATATATAGAGAGGGATATACTTCATATATATGAAATAGTAGTTGAACTAACTTAACCACCCATGATGACAAATGCCAGGTTAAACTAGCTTATAAGTGGTTGATGCTATACGTAATTTGTTAGAGTAAAATATTGTTTTTGTAAGGTCATTTTGATGGGTTATTATAATCATGTCCGTCATCAGGAAAATAAAAATTAATAATAAGTTATGATGAGTATAAAATTAATAAATATAATTAACCACGATAATGTGAAGGTTATTTTATATTGATATTGATATATTCGTTATGCATGATTGCATGTAACCTGCTCCGCCGTCTACTCATCACCTAATGTGCATGCACGTTAGTTGTATCAGACTTATACAATACGATAATTTATAAATTCTTGCATTTGAAGGTCAACTAAACTCAATAACTTTACGTTTTAATGTTTTATTATATATTTTTTTACGAATGTAATGTTCAAACGTTTGCAAATAATATTTTAATTAAATTGAATATAAAAGTATAGAATAAACGTTTTTCAAAAAACAAGTATAGAATAAATAAACATTATTTCCTCATTTGTTCTCTAATAATTATTATTATTATTATTATTATTAGTATTATTATTATTATTTTGGTGATGAGACAACCACTATAGTCACTATTTGAGAATGCGCTAAGGTAAACTTAACTACTGCATGTGCAACGAGCCCAACCATATGGTATTGTTAACAATAAAACTCGTAACATTTTAGGTACGAGAATTATTTTTTACTTACTTGGCCGACTTTTGGTGCCTCTAAGTATTATTTTTAACTCTTTGGTGCATGAACTTATTTTTTGCCACATAAAATGCTTTTTAACCAAATTTTTCATAGAAAACAATTAGAATACATTGCATTTTCTTTTCAAAATTATACCAGCTTAAACACCTTAGCTTGACCCTTAAGTGATAAAAAATATATATATAAAATTCTAAATTAAAAGTTTAATGCATTTTTGTTTGTTTGTGTGTGTGTGTGTTTTTTTTTTTTTTTTGGTAATATTAACTCCATTAAAGATAGTCTCGATTCTATATTTTTCCTATCTGTTCCATTTTTGTTGTTTTCTATTAAAAAATTTAATTTAATGACCAAATGCAATCAAAAGATGAAAACCGTGCAATGAATGAGACAAAAAGAATACTCCATATCGATTAACCAAAAATTATCCGAAATTTGCACTCCTATTTAAAATGTAAAGGTAAAAATGACGTAATGATTGAGAAATTAAAAGTAAAAAACAATGGTGCTTACCTAGGAAGAGAACAACCATGGGGCTGCCATCTCCAGTACTGGTAATCCTTGTCGGGGCGGCCGTGTTCTTGGCAGGTTAATTGCGGTTGTATGTACGGACACTCTTGTTCCTCGTACAACGGCCTGTTCTCCTCGTCTCGGACCCACCTCCCGCTGAAAACGTCGCAACTTTCCTCTGTTTCTCCGATGGCAAATGCCAATTTGTGTTTGTTCTTCTCTAACCACAAAAAACTTAATTAGTTAGCTCAATAACTCTATATATTATTTAAGTAAATTTCTATACTATAATACGGTGTTGTAAGGTTGATTAAATTATATCGCATATATATTTTGATAGTAATAAAAAGAGATAACTCATTTTCCAGATTTCTAATATATTTGACAGGGGGAAAATGATGGTCAACCGAAATTAATTTTCGTTCAAAGGAAAAACATACTTATTTTTTCGAAAAATGACTTCCTTTTTTGGGTAAGTCATTTTCTGAAAAACTCAAAACAACTTTTTCCATGTTCTCCATCTTCTTCTTTGTTTTCCGTCAGCAACCAAAAATATGGTTCTCGACGGAAAGTCGGAAACCAAATTAACTGCAGGTTTCCATTGAAAACCATTTACTAGTTCCCGTTGGAAACCATAAGTTTTTCTAGTTTCCGACTTCGGAATCCAGTATTTTTTTTATGAAATCATTGCTCTTTTTTTTATAAAAATTTTATAAATAATGTTGATTTTTTAAAATACAATTCTACTCATTTTCTAGAAAATGATCCAAACACACTAAGATAGTTTTTTGAAATGCAACTAAACACGGAAAAGAAAAATATTTTTTAAAAAATTACTCACTTTTTAAAAATATTTTCCAGATTTCTAAACATACCTTAAGTATACAAGCAAGTAAATATAGTGTACAAGTTATTACAATTTACAATATTATTTAATGTCGTTAATAACTTGGTGAGAAAAAGGTAAAATCAAAAAGAATGTATAGATGTATAAGAAAAAAAGTACAGCGTACACACTATTATTCCTTGGACAATAGAAACTATTTATTTATTTATTTATTTATTTTAATTACCCGAATGAAATAATTATATTACGATCACCACCTAATTATATCATTACTCATTACTCCAGCTTTAAGCAAAAATGATGTCTTGGTAGAATGTGGGCCTACCACTTAACTCGTTGAAATTACTTTTTTAACCCCTTCGAACAACATTGATGAATACAAGACTCCCCCATCTCGGTTTCTCAACAAACATGAGAAATTAAAGAAAAAGCAATCAAACCGGCCAATTCTTAACGCTTATGTAAAATGATGAAGGACACATTGTACTCCGCAAAGTTATACTTTTTCTATGTACCTCTTAGAAAACACAAAATACAACTTTATAAAATACTTAAAAAATGGAGGGGAGAAAATAAAAGAAAGAAAAGAAAAATAAATGTGTAAAAAGTAAGTTTTTTGTGGGATTCACAAGGAAGAAAAGAAGAATTGATCTCTTTGGTGCGTGTTGGGCGTGTTAAGGGACAAATTGTTTGTTTTTTTTCTTTTCTTTTTGGATTTTCTCTTTTTTTTTTTCTCTCTCCTATTTCCTTATCCTCTCCCTTCTATGTGGAAAAAAATTGACAAATCACAAACATTCTTGATTCTTTACGAGGTAATATATGTTCTATACTTTCTTAATCTCATTCAATTCAAAACGATAACAGATGTGTCATCGCACTAAATAATAATTGACCAGCAGTTATACCATGGACTCGAGTCTACTTGCAAAGTGTACCCAGGTCCAAAATATATAATACATACTGAAGGTTCACAATTTATATACTGAATATTCACAATTTGAATTGTGAACATTTAGTACGTAAATTGTAGACATTATTCAGTATGTAAATTGTGTATTTTTTAACTCGAGTCCAAAGAATAATTAATTTATCATAGTTGACACCGTGAAAATACTATTAATTCTTTACAAATTGTACTCTTTTTATGTACCTCTTACAAAGCACAAAGTACAACTTCATAAAGCACCCAAGAAATCAGCTTACTTGTAATGAAGAGTCATATACAGAGAATACTAAAAGCCACCGAACGCATAATTCAATAGATATAGATATAGATATACATGCATGAATAAATATAAATAAAAATATATATAATTATAATACTCACTGAAATTGGAGATTGATCTGTGAAGATGGGTGGACTGGGAGGAGTAGAGGTCGAGCTGGGTGAAAATGCAGGTGAAGTCTTCGCTGTAAAGGATGGTGACGAAGACGATGAAGGCGAGAAGAGTGAAGAGAAAAGGAGAGAATCGAGCCTTCTTTAGAAGAGAAGACGATGAAGGAGAAGAAGACAGAGGAGGCTTCATCGCCGCCGTCGATCTGGCCGCCGGCCGGGGATATGATAATGTTTTTTTTCGACGACCTGGTATTAGTTTTCGAGTTGTTGAGGTCGTGTGTTTTTGTTGGTGTTGTTTGGAATATAATGAGGTTAAATAAATATAATGAAGGAGGAAACCATTATTAGGTTGGAGATGGAGAGTCGGCAAATGGTTTATATAGCTTCTTATTCACTTTTTCTATTATTAAATGTTGAGAAAATTAAACAATTAAAAGGTTTTGGTTGCAAGGTTAGAATTAGAAGGGAAAAGAAATTGTAATTTTGTGGGAAATAAATAAAATTAGAAAAATAAATATTTAAAATTGATTGTTTGGTATGTATAAATAAAATTACTGAAATTTCAATTATAATATTTTGTATATATGAATTGAAAGAGAATATTGTACATTTAATACAAAAATAATGTACATTCAGTACAAAAATAATGTACATTGTATTTAGGGGATGTACATTATTTTTGTACTGATTGTATATTATATTGTATAATGTACATTCAATACAAAAATAATGTACATTTAGTATATTAAAAATGTACATTTTGTTATGGTCCACGTAACATTGTGTGGACCAATACTTTGCCAATACTAGATACCTTTCATATTTTTTCGATCTAATACATTCCTTATAATGTGGCATTAGTTAATTGGTTATTAGTAAATTCTCTTTTTAATTTCACAAAAGGAAAAATAAGAGGGGAAATTCAGTATGGGTAAGAAGCATTTTTCATTACATCACGTTTGGTTCACAGAATGAATTTGGAGGGAATAATAATGATATTCCATAGGACATGTAATAACTAAGGAATATAACATGAATTGTATTCTATTGTTTGGTTCGCGGAAGAAATAGATTTTAGAAATTATATTCGGTTTGGTTGGTTAAAGGAATAGAAATTAAAGAGGTTTTAAAGACATAAATATCATTTTACAAAATAATAATAATAATAATAATAATAATAATAATAATAAACATTCTTCCAACATAATAAACATACTGCTCTCACGGGGTTAAACTTGTAACATTATAATTACTAAGTTAACAACTTACTAAATTGGTTGGGGTTGGATCCTTCAATTTATTTTCAACATGAGTTAATTCCAAAAATGATCCCTTGACTATTAACATTTACTAATTTTCAACTTTTAATTTGACCATAAATGATCTATTGATTATTGATTTTGTTCTAAATTTGATTATCTAGTTACATATTCATTTAGTAAACATTAAATGTAAGGGAAAAATTTGGCTTGTTATTAATATGGGCGAATTGGGTTTATAAATATTAGTGGAAATATGAAGAACCAATTTTTACATTATTGTACTTAAATTTAATGTTTGTTAAATGGATATTTAACTAGATGATTAAATTTGGAGCAAAATCAATAATTAAGAAACTATTTATAATCAAATTGAAAATCGATGCATACAAAAAAAAAATTGAAAATCGATGATAAAAATTAATAAATATTAATAGTCAATAAATCATTTATAATTTATAATACAGTTAAAAGTCAAGGATAAAAATTGCATGATAAATATAAATAATCAATGTATCACTCTTCAAATTAACTCTTTTCAACATGAAGGAATCTAATATATAGAGGATGATTGGAAGTATTGTTTTCAAAACCAAGGTAACTAACTACCTACGCAAGTCAAATAATGTCGAGGTGGAGAAGCATTTTCCTTGATGATATGCTATACACATCAACAGTTGACAATAAATTATAATTATAATTATTTGTTTTCAAAAAAAAAATTATAATACAATTAGTTGGGGAGATTAATGATGAATTGCTTCCTATATGATTAACGTGCTAAACTAATTATTAATTACTAATATTCATGTTTTGCAATATTGTAATTTTTTAGGTGAGACGTTTGTGTTTTGGCATATATAGTACTCAACTCCTCGGAATGAACAAATGAACGCAAAACTCTTGATATAACGGTCAATTGGCATTTGGTTTCTTTGAAATTAATCAAATGATTGATCTTCCAACTAATGACAGCACTAATCAGATTTTGTCAGCGCGTGCTTAGCTCAATGGTTCAGTAGGCAGTATTTAAGAGAAGAGACTAAGGTCCGAACTTCGATGGTGGTAGTATGGGGATCATGTTCAAAATGGACAGATCCCTTGGGCACACTAGCATTTGATCCTATCTGTTGAGTCATTGAGTCACCGTGATTTACATCCTCCCAAATATTCTGTCGGTCTGAGTATGAGGTCCTTAGGGTTGGGGATTCAACTTTTAGGTCCTTAGAGTATGACCTTAATTACTGGTCAAGTTAGTATTTTTTTTTTTTTTTGAAAAAAAAAAAATTGCATATGGCATCTTCACCAATCATCACTAGGGAAGGCAACAAATTGGGTATTTGGGTATTTTCATATATCCGCACTCTAATAGAACGGGTTCGGGTCGGGGTTAGGATAGCAATGTTGTTGTATTACTTTTATAAATTTATTATGAAAATTTTATGTTTTATTGAACAAATTTGTAGAACCGATTATGTATTACATTAACTTATGTATTAGACACAAATATTTAAATTTATCTTGTTAAAATATATTAAACGAGTTTCAGAACTGTTTGAGGTACCTGTTAATAATGTTAGATTAAACGAGTATGCGATAGGAATGCGAATCATTCTATCGGGTTTGGGACGAATTCTAGTAGTTTAAGAACTAATTGGGTATGGATTAAGGAAATGTTTAACAGGTACCGGCACTTGTCCTTATCGCGCGCTACTTAATCACTGTCAGATTAATTTTTATTCGATACGGACCGTATTCTTAGATTTAACTTCGAGCTTACAATTATATTAGCAGTCCGCTTACAAATTGCCATAAGTTACTAGATGAATCAGTTACAATTTTATTTATCATAACCAAATCAATCAAATATACACCCCAGTGGTTGGAAAATACGCAACTCTCACTTTTTTATCCCGACCAAATTTTCCAACCACTTTACAAGAGTGGACACTATTTCTGACCACTTAATGCGGTTGTCGAAATACCGATAAAAGATTTTCTGAATATCTCAAATGATCGAAACAAGCGTTACTAGTGAAAATGACAATTTTTGAAATGATCGGAAAATCGAACATTTTCATCACCGTATGAGCATCCTTAGATATAAATTCCAAACATAATACTAAATCAAACCCTTCAGTGTGACATTATACATTCCTTCATGCATGTATGTTTGGATATAAATTTTAGTACATTACATGTTTTTTTTTTTTTTTTTTGAAAGGAGTACATTACATGTTAGCCTTACTACACAAACTCAATCTCACTTAGAAAAACTTAGAAAGTCTTATTGCTTACCCAACCCATGAAAAGTTAAAGATGTTGACTTTTTTAACGCATGTTCATCACTATATCGAGCAATTATTTGTTAAGCATAATATATAAAATTAGAGTTTTTATTTTATTATTTTTTTAATTTTTAATTTTTTTTTTTTTATTTTTACCGTGCCAATAATACTAAGGCATGTTTGGTAAAATAATTAGTCTATTAGTCAATTTTGACTTATTTGATCACTATTAGCTGTTTGACTTGGTTAAACAATCAATACGAGTGTTTGATTAATTAGTTTTTTGTAACAATTTATCGCTACAAAATGCTAAAATTTAAAAAGTTGCTCAAAATAGCTTTTTCAATCAGCTTTTTGAGAAAGTCATTTTATATGTAATCAGCTAACAACTAACAGCTAATTTACCAAATACTTTTCTACAATCAGCTAATGCTATCAACTAGTCAAACATACTAACTCAATAAGCTAACAACCATTTACCAAACACCTCAAAGTCAAATAAATGTAACACAACAATAAATCACCATAGAAGATTTTATTTTGCTTTTGGTCACTCGACTATAGTCGCTTTTTTACTTTTAATCCTTGACTTGTATTTGTTCATTTCACTTTAGTTTTTCTTAGTACTCAAGGAAATCTGCAGTCAGTACCCAAAGGTGTACATTGAGTAAACCTCACCTTGTAACTCTAGCAGACAAAAGACCACAAAGAGATAAATCAATCTAGGTTGTCCATAGCTGACTGGCTCAAACTAATTAAGCAGGCCTATAAGCCCCTCTCGTTGAAAGTCAAACTTAGAACCTTGCGATTACCAAGTCCATCAACAACCTGCCTAACTTGATTGAAATTATTATCCCACGCTTAAAAAAATATTTTACTTTTAGTTCAAAAGGACCAAAATGCCCTTAAATGCAGCCAAGTTGAACAATTCTTTTAAATTGCGGGCTAAAAACATAACCAATCAAACTCGATGAAGTCACTATTGTGAGTGATCAAAAATATATTAAATCCGGTCGAAGGATATCATGAAATCGTGTATGTTGCCTAGCCAACTTCATTGATTTCCCTCTTGGCAACGTTTTATTAGGTTATCAAGTAACGTGCATTGAGAATTTGATGATGTATATATGTGGTGTGTGAATGGAAATCAAATCATTTCACTTGGCGTGTAAGATAAGAGTGGTTGTGAAAGATTGACAATCATTTTCTTCACTTTCTAGCAATGATGTTGGTGTATGTACATATATATTATTTAGTTATATATGTTTTATTTTATATTCCATTTGTTTGGGTTTTTGTAAAGTAAGTAGAAGAGAGGTGGGTATTGGTTAGGGAATTATTTAGAGAAGTTTTAGGTGAGGATTGATTGAGGTTTTTGGTAAGAGATCAACCTCATTCTAGTTGGCACTTATGCCTCATTTCTATACTCATAATCCTCACATGGAGCAGGTGATGAACATGTATCTACCGTTGACACTCCTTAATCCTTGTTGTGGTTCTAGCTAGGATTTGAATGCTGAGGTTGTGGAGTAAATAAATTATATCAAACCCAAATCGAGATCAATGGATTATATTGACTTTTTAATTAGAACAATTTTAGTATGTGCTTGAGTTTTGCCTATATAAATAATGACTTTATATTAAGTAGTATTTAAGGTATTTGATTTCGCTGTTTTTAAGACTGTTGTGATGTATTGTTGTAATTTACATTTTAACATTTCTTCCCCTATAAGGTTGAATCCTCAACCCCGTCCCAACATAGCATTTGGGAGGATATATGTAAATTACGGTGACTCAAT